GATGCTTATGATGGAAAGTCCACTGAGTTCTTGCATCATAGTAGATCTCAGGTAAGGTTTAATGAGTTTGAGCTTGGAGAAGCTTCTTTCAGCAGCAGCCACTGTAACAGGAAGAGTTGGGTGTTACAGTCTAATAATAAAAATAAAGAAATTAACCAATAATACATAAAGTTTTGGTCGTTTTGACATTGTTAATGGTTTCTGGGGTCAGAAAACTCAACCATCTCTCAGAGAGCAGGTGGGGGGGGGGGCTTAATAAAGGGTTATTATTATTTAATAGGCTTTGCTATGCAGTTAAATTAATGTGGGCTTATTTTTTTCATACTAAGAAATAATAGCACCAACTAGTTTTAGTATAAAAATATTGAAAGTTGCACCTTTTTATTTTTATTCCCCCATTGTGGCGCCCCCTAGAATGGACGGCGCCCTTAGCGTTTGCCGGCACTGACATTTCCCCACACTGCTGTGGCCTTTCTGTCATGGCCCTTAAAGTAGCTTTATTTAGATTTTGTTTTTAACTTGCTTACCTGGAGGGCCCTAGGGGTGTATAGTTACAGTTTAAAGCCAAATGTAAACTACATTGTGCTTGAAGAAAATTCAAAGAATCAATAAAGTTAGCAGGATTCATAATCTGGGGACCATGAACGTATGCACAAAATCCCATGGCAAATCATTCAGTCCTTGTTGATATATTTCATAGCTTTTCTTTATCCACTCAAAACCTCTTTCAGTCAGTAACAGCATCTTCTGTCTGGATTCATTCTATTAATGGGTGTCAATCAAATTGATCCAGGTTCCCGTTGAATTTCTACACAGAAAGAGATTCTTGCTGTGATTGAATTTGATCGTTACATGCCCCCTACATTATCCCCTGCAGCTCTATTATTCAGTTACCAGTGTCAGGTTTTTATTTTGATGGTACAGCGGGAACACAAATAGTGAGACAGAATCTCTTTGTGGGCTGTTTTCATGCCAATCCCCACTATTAACAGCTGGTCCATTACCAAACACCTCCCCTGACAGATGGGTTGTTCTACAAATCATCTCTGAGGGATTTTACAAGCCAATACAACTACATAAAACTGTAAAAGAGATCAGGCAAGCAAAGATTGTGTAATGCTTCCTCATAATTCTCTGCTGATGAAGAAAAGATTGAGCAAGATGTAACTATTTTTTTTGGATGCCGTTTTGCAAGCACTTTTGATGGTCTTGAAAAAAGACAGTCAACTGGAAATATGTTTCATCGCAGAGTTGTTTACTGAGATAATTGTGTTTCCTTCCATTTCAGTGACTCAAAGTGGAGAAAATGGTCAATAAGCTGTAGTATTCAGGACCTGAACAACTAGATTATTTGCAGCTGAGTGCTCATATCAGTACCTTCTGCCCACCCTAGAAGTACAAAGACAGTCAGGAAATGAATTGATTGCACTGTGACCGATCTCAACCCACATACAGCCCTTCTAACACATGTAGCCTCCATGTATGGATCTACAACTGCATGCACCTTATTAATGTACTGTATACTTAACTCAGCTATCAGGCAGGTGGGATTATAGTGTGTGATTTTGACATGACAAAAGTAAAATAAAATAAAAAGCACAAAACAAAGAATGCTGGGTGCTGGATTTATTGTGATTCTTACAAAATGTTTACAAGATAGTAACATGAAATAATTTTACCAGACAATAAATGAGAAGACAGAGCCTTTATAATGAGGTGTCTGAATATTGCATTTGTTAGTTACACCCAAAAGGTTGAGGGCTTTTATAAGACTAGCGTTACTCTTATTTTGTTAACAAAATGACCCTCGCACTAATGTTTCTCATCAGTTAGATTTAACTCTTTGCATTGACTTTGTCAGAACATTAGCTTCGTTTTCTGTGTGAACATGTCATAATGCTCTAGTTTCTGTCTCTGAGAGGTTGCTCTCACCCAGTAGAATAGAGGTGACAGGAATTTTGTTTGCGGTACTAACAGGACTGAAATTTTTGATTCAAACATTGTACAACCGTGCTAGCAGCTCTGTGAGGCTGGTATAGTAGTGCCTTCAGCTAATGTCAACATGTTAACATGCTCACACTATAATGCTAACATGCTGATGTTGAAGGGGGAATGGACACCATCTTAATTTATTGTGACAGCATGTTAACGTTTTCTAATATAGTTGAGGCTGGCAGGAAAGTCAATTTTGCAAGTGATCAAATCAAATTATTTTGCTAATTAAAAGTGTGATCTCATGGTTTTTGCTAAACGAAAAACAAAGAAATGACCAAAACTGTGTTTCATCAAACCCATTCACTAGTTGTCGTGACATTTCCCATAAAACCACACATTTTAATTTTATGGTTGTGCTAAAGGAAAAGTCACGGGATAACCAAGTGATGACACCAAGGGTCATTAAGGGTCATGAACCAAATTTTGTGCCAATCCTTTGAGTGGATGAAAATTTCTACCTGCAACAACGTAATACATGTCTGGATGGGATCTTTATCATATTGACATTTGAATTGATTTCATTGGCTCTTCACAAAAATGATATTGCTGCAAGGTAATTTAAAGTTAAATCCACCGATCGCTTGCCAGTTTTGATTACGCCTTATTTCCATCAGAGGCGTGTGTGTGTGTGTGTGTGTGTGTGTGTGTGTAAAACAATTATTTTTGATGATTGCTGATGTATGTTTGTATTAATATTATATATACATAAGAGCTGCATGTTAAGAGCACTGGTGGACTCATGTAGTGCCTGCATTTTGAAAAAACATAGCCCTGTTTCCTCTGGAACGCACCCACAGTAGATTAAACATGATAAAGTCACCTCTTCAGTGGCTAAATGTGCAAGAAAATGTGCTAAAGTGCATATTGGGCTGCCCTTCTAGAGAAAACATGATGAAATGCTCTCTTGGCAGGCCTGTAAATACCACTGAGGACACTGAGGACATGTCCTCTGTATCTTTCTGACTTAAATGTTTTTAAAGGACCAGTGTGTAACGTGGACCTTCAAAAACAAGGTATTAGTATCTGATGATACAAATCGTAGATCATTTAAGAAAAATATAGAATGGTATTAATAAGGAGGGGTGCTCCTGTTATATAGCCTACCTTTCAAAGCAAGGTTAGTCAATGCCATGAATGATGAAAGGCCTGGCCATGGACTGTATTCCACCTGAATATAGTCCACGCACACTGAATCAATTAGGAGTTTCTGCTCTCCCATTTCTGCCATTTACAGTGGCACACATATTCACAGTAGGAAATAGACTGTATTATACAGTAATAACACATTAGAATAAAGTTACACTGCAGGGCAGCGGCTTTGAATAGAGAATTTGCCTACCTTGCTGCAGTCTTACTGTCTGTTTTTGTTTTTGCCTCACCAAGCCTTGCGCGAGGTTCATGGTGATGAGAGACAGCATCATAATTCATTGTTTTGTGTTAAATGTATCTATATATATAGAGAGAGATATTTAAGGTTCAAGACTCAAAAGATTAAACTTGAGCTCTTAACAGCAATAATGTAATATAAGCTTGATCCAAAAATGTACATAAAACATATGACACACTTACAGTGCTTTTCTGTTTATTGACCTGCATGCTGAATACTTGTTCAAAATATAGCTACAATGCAATATTTATCATGTCATATAGGCATACTTTTTCTTTTTCTTTAGTTTTTCATTTTATTTTTTAGTAAGTCAATATTTACCACCTGAATAAAACTATAGGAATGCTAGAAAATAACGTGTGGTGAAATGAAATGCTAGAGGACACCAAGAGCGCTTTCCTTCTGTCTGTAATGAATGTCTTTTTTTAAATGACCTAATTTAATAAAGCCTAAGAAGCTTTTCCCACCGGATCTGGCATTAGGAATAAATGTATTGAGGTGAGGTCCCATCCTCCTTCACCCCTAAAGTCTAGGTATCTCTGGTTGTCTTACTACTACTTACTTACTACTGCATAATACAGCACACGTTTATCAAATGAAAATAGATGACACAAAAAGCTTTCAATAGGTTGCAGTGGTTGAAATGGGAGGATCAACAAGGTTAGGTTACTGCACTGTGGAAACTTTCGTGTGGTGGAATGAATGAGCCATTGTGTCACTGTTGAAAATCAATTATTCTGCAACCTAAAAGCTACGCCGTCATAAATAACGATACAGACTTGGTACAATATTGTACTATTATGTTAATATCCAAATGGCATCGGTCTTAATGAACCTAAAGTAATAAAAAGACGTATTATCAGAGGCTCGTCAAGTCAAATGAACGTCACACAGTCTCGGCAGGAAAGGTCAGGCTGCTGAATCGAGCCATGAACAGTCGCTCATCTGCTATCCCTCGGCCCAACTGAGAGCAGCGAACTACGACATGTGTGCATTTCGTGCACCGTTTAAAATGAGCCGCTGTTTTATTTTCCCGGCACTCACCTGAATATAAATGTGTGGCGGGATTCGCGTCTGTCGTTTTTCAGCGACAGCCACCAAGGGAAGAAAAAGTCCGCTGTCACTTTAGTATCTGTTAGCTGTATGCTAATGTGGTGCTAACGGCTAACCACTGGGCTTCACAGTGATTCTTGTTACTGCTGCAGTTTACACACGCATCTGTAAGATACCAGCTTACGTAAGAATGACCACGTGTTTCTGCTAGTATAACTGTCTGTTTAATTCGGGGTTAAATGGCGTTGATAGTGAAGTGTACATGTAGTTGTGAGTGTTGACAGTCCGCCACAGTGTCGCTTCCCACCTGGTGCGGTCCGCTACCTGTGTGCGTCCTGCTAGCCACGTAAACTGCTCCTGCCTGCTGTTGACGTAGCAGGGGCAGCTAGCTTGCCTTTCCTGCCAAGCTAGTTCCAGTTTACATGAATTAGGGGTACCGGGTTATTGTCAGTCTGCTTAATAAACAACAACACAAACAAGAGGACCGAACTCCGCCTATAGGTCGTGGACAATTGTGATTCAAAATGCTATAGCTGGACTTGAACGGTGCTGGTGCATTGAGCGGATGATGAAGCGGGTCATCTGGCTGATATCAGGATTAAACAGAAGAATGATGAAGCTACTTTTTGCCCTCGCTTTGATCGCCTACATTGCCTGTAAGTACACGTTTCTCTGCTGTTTAGCCTGGCATCATTCCTGTGACTTTTGTATAACCATGACAACCAAAGTGTAAACTCGTCGGAGGAGTTTAAACTGTCACAGCTCACTGTTTGGTGGCCAGGCCCCCTCAGTATATACACACACTGTATCTTGTAAGACTTGGACGACTGGTTGGACATGTATGATAAAACTAAGTCATCCTGCTGGATAACTCACGGTTGAAGCAGTCAGGCTCAACATGAAGTAAAAATGAGTTGTATTGAGATGTATACAGCATTATCTCATTTTCAATGTTGTGTTATTTTCATTGGAGCAGAGAGAGAAAGAGAGAGAGTTGGGTTTTCTAAATGTATCATCTATAGAAAGTAAACAGTATAAAGTCACTGTTTCCCAAAGGTTAAATCAGTGAGATTTAGTTTTAAGACAATCAACAGAAGATTCATCACCTACAAGTTCAGGGATAATGCCAAACACGTGTATATCTCGATGTATTTGTCACTGTTTTCTGACATTTTCAAGGGAATTATTAATTAATTAATTAATGAAAGAAATTGTTAGTTGCAGCTCAATTCGTAGTATACTTTTTATTAAAATGGCTCCAACGATTCTAGTGACAGCACAATTTCTGTGCTTTCGATGGGAGTTAATTCCCAAAAAGAGGGCGAAAACAGCAAAAGTACGACATATGGGTGCAAACCTACCAAATCGAATTACTTTGTTAAACAATGTCCTTTTACATTTGTGATTGGCTTGTATTTGCACAAATGTTCTGTCTGCTTTGCTGAGCACAGTGGTTGTTTTGAGGATTGTGTTGTGGATGCCAAATGAACACGGTGTCTGTAAAGCCCATGATGTCATCTTTTGTGCCTGTCAGGTGGTACGGCAGCAGGGTTTTCACATTTTTTACCCAGTTGATTTATACGTATGAAACTCGTTTTATTGACTGAATATGGCAGATATTTATAATAAGCTGAGCTCATGTGTTTATTTCATCCTCATCCTGGCTGGGTATTTTATCTCGTAATGACTCGTGACATTTTGTCCGTGGCACTGTGACTGACAGGGCTGTAGTCAACAAGCCCAATGGTGTGAATACAACCTGAAGAGCAAACACATATGCAGACACTATTCAGCCAGCATGCATTCAATCATTCGTTATTGTTTTAATTTTTTTAGATAAGGCTTAAGTGGAAAGAAGCAACCCCCAGGGCCATGCTGTCCACTAAGGAGAGTGTGAAAGGGGAGAAGGGAGAGAGATGAGGGGACGTGTGCCAGGCAACACTTTAGAGGAGGGGGCGAGACAAGGTTGTTTTCTGGACTGACACACAATGCTCAGTGAACAATGGAGTTACATTTGACTCAAACTTTTTAAAAAATGTGTAATGACAAGTGAGTTTTTATATTTAGAAAGCTATGTAAATAGAATTTGGGTGCATTCATCCCCAACTACAGCACGGTTTTAAAAGGAATTTGAAAAGTCTTTATTGATCTGATAGTCAGGGGAGATTAAACTAAATAAACTTGAAAGGTCAGAGGAAATAACTAGATCCTCGTATACAAAAGACAGGATATTATCCAGCTTGGCTTTTTATGCTAATCCATTTGAAAATAGTCAGTTTTTTATGGACCACTATGACAATTGTAATGATTTAAAGCTCAGTAATTTACAATCCACTTCTCCAGAGAAAAGAAGATAGCTGGAGCTTCTTTTCTTTACATCTCTCTCTTTAGCAGTGTCGCTCTCTATCTTTGTTAGACAGACTGCTATTGCTGAATGTGGCTGTACTGTATATACATACACTTTGAACTCATGATGCAGTTTTCTCTTTCTCTCTTTCAGCTGTCTGGGCGACACATGCGAACATGAGGTAGGCTAATTCATTTTTATATTAACTAACTGCTTTTGTATAAAATATTTTCCATATTCTGGGTAACTAAACTCATGGTTTTTTACACACGGGCAAATTAAAGGCGGTTGCTCATTAACTAGTATTTTTTTGAATGGGTAAGTGTCAATGTGCAAAACTCTTTAATCAGTCACCGAGCACTGGCACCCAGATTGCTCACCTCTGTGAGGTCATATTTTGAGTCTGCAGTCTAATGAGGTTTGTGATTGAACATGATGAGCGTGTTCTTTATCAGCATGATGAGCCACTGTACTCCTTAATGTGTAATTGTACCCATTTAATTAAGCAGTCTGGGCAAGTGCATGCGGTGCTTGACAGAAAATCATTAGTTTTCCTCATGACAAACACTTTTCATTGTGCACAATACAGGATTTTACTGCTATGAATATTCTCTGGTCAAAAAATGTGAAATTGTTAAAAACTAATTTGACGCTCAATTAATTAATCGTTCTACTCATGTTATAATTGGACCAGACCCATTCTGTCCTGAACACTTGATTCTCATAGTGGATTTATTACTAATCTGGCACTGTGATAAGTGACATTACGTGGCACAACGCAGCTTCTTTCTCCGTGATAGCTGAGCTGTGACAGCCACAACGGGGTTGAGATAGTCTAACAATGTGTGAATCCTTTTTAAAGATGACAGCTGCACTGACACTATTTTTTCAAGGGTCAAAATATTGAATATTGTCGAGGAAAATGTGTCATTTCTATGTGAGACGCAAAAGTGCCATTTGTCATTGTAAATACAATCATCTGATGTTTTCCTATAATTAAACTAAAGTGTTCTTCTGTGTCTAAAAATCACAGCTTTATTGTTTTTCTCTGCTTTGAAATGCTGTGAGAATTCATGCAAGGATTTTGCTGATAAAGTGTATGGTAATTATGTAAGATGAGCTTGAAGCTATCTTGTTGTACGTTAAACCAGTGAGTGGGACTGTGGGATTTAAGCCTAACTGATTGAGGTATTTAAACAAACGTTCCTGGGTGGTTTATCCGTAAATACTAACCAGAAAAAAAATGCATTTATCAAGGTATACATTGTCTTATATATACATATATATTGTGTTATTGGATGGGTGGGGGTGGTGGGAATCCTTATTTCAAGCTATTTTCTCTGGCCTTGTGTTAATGGCTGCCATTCCCCTGTCTCCTCATCTTTATCTTTCCCTCATCATAGATCAATACAAGAACATGGAGAGATGATCGAGCAGAGAATTGATGAAGTGAGTTTCATCCAAAAGCTGTTTTCACCCTCTTAACATTTTATCTTTTACAGCTCCTAGGAGCTTTATGTTATCAGCTATCTGCTTCTCATGTACGTTATTACACATTTACTAAAATACACTATTGTAAAGTCATGCATACAAATACATGTGAAGACATTCTATTGATTGATTTTTGAGCACGTCCAAAACATCCAGTGCAACCTGGCCAGAATCACTTCAGTTCAATTTTAGCATAATCCATATTATGGTTCATTTTGGCTAGTGATGCAGTAATTTGGTATCTAGCCATGGTCGTTTTCAGATAAAATAATGTTAGCAAATGTGGTACCCGAGTTTTGTTTACATACCTTAGCTAATACTGTGAAGTAAGGAATTTATATTAAAAAAATACAATTATGCTTTGTAACTATTTTTTCTAAGCTGATTATGGAAATTGTTCATGAATGAGTCATCTCATTTCCTTCGCTGTTGAGTTGCACATGCGCAATACTGGTTGGACAGATTGTACTGCCTTGGTAACACACAGCACCGATAGATTTTCTTCTGATTTTAAGTAATAATAATAATAATAATAATAATAATAATAATAATAATAATAAAGAATTTAGTTTGCAAATTGACCTAATTTATTTACCCCTAGAAGTTAGGAAACGACTGAAAAAAGGTTTTAGATCTGTGTTCCTCTACATAAATTTAACGGAAGAAAGATATATCCTCACTTACTATATAACAGTATTTTTTAAATTATAACTTAGTGCCTTAAGTAACTGAGGTTTGAGTTTAATAACCTTGGTAAAATGTTAATCTGAATGAGTTAAATGGATTTCTGTAGATGAAATATCTTATATCTATTCATTTTCCTTCTGTGCGTATTTAGGCTCTTAAAGGGTAGAACATGGGTTTCCACACAGTATCTACAGCTTAAAAAAAGCGCATTAAATAAAAAGTAAAAAAGAGCCTTGGCCTTGGATTTTAAATTAATTAAACAAATGTCTTAGATGTTTTCTCTTGCCTGCTTTAGGCAGCAAAGTTGGGAAACATACACCCACAACACGCTGACATTGACCTTTGTTCTCATCTCATGCTTCTCTCACTTTTCATCTCAATTTAGGCTGTGGGGCCTCTCAGAGAGAAGATTCGTGATCTGGAACAAAGGTGTGTATCCATTTTTAATGCACACATACGTACACATACACATGCTCAAAATAAGTAAGAGGAAAGTGTTGTCTGCAGACTCGTGACCAGTAACAATTAGTATTTCTTCTCACTCTCAATACTGACATATTTTCTAATTTGCAGTGCCAACTCAGTGCTCAATGAAAGGCTATTTATTGGACCCAGTTTTAAACGAATGTTGGTAATTGTTTTCCCCAAAATAATCACATTTTCATTCAAAACAAAACAAAAGCACTTAATGTGCTGCATACTGTAGCAATCTGTCAATTAAGAAGCCAATATTAAATGTTCCATTGTAGCTACTGATGGCAGATAGATTGTGGTTTTAGAGGTTAATTATTTGTCACCTCTGATGCCTTGAATGCTAATTAGTGCCACTTGTTGAGTGTAGATTGTCCCTACTGTTTGCTGCTTTCCATAAACCTGCAATATGCCACAGGATTTCAAGACCCTATTAATTCAGTGTACACTATGTCCATGTGATCCTTGCATGGATATACAGTACAAGCCACTGCAGAGTGCTGCAGATAGACTGTAAAGAACAGGCACAGGCTTATCACAGGCTTATGTTATGTTATTCTGTTCTGTTGCAGCTACTGATGCCAAACACATTTGAGACATGTTTGACGCCTTGAATGTATATGAGACAGAAATACATATGCTAGTTGGGAGATTTAAAGGACAACTCTGGTAAATTACAATATACACTTTGTAGTGTTGTCAGGTACCATGGTAACATGTACTCGCATAAGTAATTTCTGAGTTCTTCTCTAAATTATAAATTAATCCAAACCTCTAAAATTGATAAATGTTTGTACTGTAGTCAAAACAAATGTGATCTTTAGGGATATCCCAATCAAAGATCAGTATTTGGGGCCTGAACCACACTCTTCAGGCTGCTGCAAATGCAACAAAACCCCCTTGAGCAAAAAGCCAAAACTAGTAATTTAGTATTTAGTATCGAGTATTATTATTATAATGTAGTACGCGCAAAAGATGAGGATGAAAATGAACAACAGGATGTAGTTCATTCAGGTAGCTCAGGCAAAGGCTGCACTGAAGGAACAATCACTGGAGGTTTGTTATTTTATTCTATATATATATAAAAACAAACAAACATTAAGGAACAGCTTTTTTTATGCAATTCAGTTGTCAAGCATGTACATTGAATTGATTTTCATAACTTAAACTTACATGTAATTAAGCATGTACCTGTATTATGTAGGAAAATACAGGTATCAGATTGGGACTTGATATTGGCAGATGCTCAATATTTAATGATTCGGGTCGGATTTGGGGACAGAAAAACTTGATTGGGACATCCCTAGTCATGTTAAAATAAAGTTAAAAAGGTATTAGATTAATTATTAAAGAAAGATACACTAAGATACCATATTGCTTCAGTGCCTGCTAACTGAAAAAGTGTTTCTCAGGCAAAGCAATTCACTTATGGTGCACGTTAAGAGAGCAGAGTAACAATGCAGTAAAGCCCATTTATTTATTCTTAAAGACCTGGATTTACAGTTAGCTCATAGATATTGTTGTTCTGTTTTGCTTCCTCCTTGCTTTTTCTTTCATATGATCGTCACTAAATAGTGTGTATTTTCTCTCTCTCAGTTTTTCTCAGAAATACCCACCTGTGAAATTCCTGTCAGAAAAAGATCGGAAGAGAATTTTGGTATGCGACAAACACACTATTTCAAACAACAACCACATTCACAGTAACTATTATACTGAAGCCATAAGTCCTAACAAAGTGAAACTTCACTTGTAGCTGTTTTCACACACAACGAAATTCTGGTTTTACACAACCTGGGTCTTATTGTTTAGCTGTGGTAACTATGTGGCTCTATGGATGGCAAGGTCGGTCGGTCTGGCTGTTTGCCACATTAGTCCAGAGTGCAGTATCTCATCTACTGGATGGATTGATACACATTTTGCACAGATATTTGTGGTTCCATGACAATGAATTCTTCCGTCTTTTGTGATCCCCTGACTTTTCATCAAGCACTGCCATTAGGTTAACTATTGGATGGGTTGAATTGTAATTGACGGACTGAACCATCACAATTATTGTTTTAGAAACATTTTCCACAGAAGTCACAGGTCATATCACAGGTGTAAATAATGAAATGAATGATGGCTAAATTCCATTTAGCTGCTTCAGTTTCAAGGTCCTGGTATTGTGAATGTGACTCACTGTCACACTGTCTTGAATTACTGGGACATTGGATTATTGTAAATGTTACTAACACCTGTGCTTTTGTTACTATGACAAATCAGACTGTTTGCTGTGAAAGAGGTCTATTGATTCAGACTTCACTGTTGCCTATGGACTGAGTAAATGAACACAAAACAAACACTGACCCCATTTTGTTTTGTACATGCTAAAAGTGTTTTATTGGTCTTTTGATAAATTAACCCTCAGAAGGACACTCAGGAAGTGTTATTACTAAAATATCCTTTACTGATGTTATCATACATGTGTATTCTTTCACTAGATTACTGGTGGGGCTGGTTTTGTGGGTTCCCACCTTACTGACAAGCTGATGATGGACGGCCATGAGGTGACTGTGGTGGACAACTTCTTCACAGGAAGGAAAAGAAATGTGGAGCACTGGATTGGCCACGAAAACTTTGAGCTGATCAATCATGATGTGGTGGAGCCTCTGTATATTGAGGGTAAGCGAGAGAGTAATTGTGAGAGATGATGACGTTTTTACATGCTGTAGGACCAGCTTGGGCAGAGTACTTATACTATAGGGCCAGTTGTTCAAAACATTTAATCTGGATCAAAATGATCCGACTTTGGAAATCACTTTTTTTCAGGATCAGGTAACCCGTATTACTTTTATGCCAGTTTTTCAAA